GGATGAGCAGTCAAGGAGGAACTCGGATGGGAGTTTGGAGGAGGCCTGGGTGGCGAAGACACTTTATGGTGGGGGGCCGCCGATGGGGTGGGTCAGCGGAGAGAGCTCGTTCACTACTCCTCCTATTACATTACAAGGGGTGCCCCTAGTTCCGCCGTCGGATCAGGAGCAGGGATTGGCGACCCAAGGAGCGGGTCAGGAGTTTGCGGTGTCGGCAGATGTACCGGCGGTAGTGACGGAGGGAGGAGAGCAGGTGATGCAGTTGACTGGAGGGGAGTTGGATCGCATCGTCGCGGAGGTAGTAGGTCGGGCTTTGGCTGCACCAGAGGCGGCGATAGTGGAAAAGTCTGCTGCAATAGGGGAGAGGCCTTCCGCGATAATAGAAAGGCAAGCCACGATGGTGGAAAGGTCCGCCATGGCTGTGGAGAGGTCTGTCATTGTTGCGGAGCGGCCAGCTGCCGAGGTTGAGCAACATATCCCCGTGCTATCTAGGCCTTTAAGAGGAGGTAGTCACCGCAGGGATGACCAGGAGGAGAGGTCAGTGATGTCGCCCGTGGTTCTCAGGCCATCTAGGGATGTTGTTACGGACTTAAGCTTGAGCTGGACCCGGGCGCAGTCCCTTATATGCGCCAAGGGTCAAGAAACCGGGCACTTGTGCATGGTGTCGGATAAAGGAACAAGTACATTGACATGGTAAAGGCTTCGGGCTAGCTTAGCGAGGATGCTGGGTTGCAAGGCCGGGTCAATGTAGACTGAATATGGGATCAGTCAAGTCTTTGCGGGTTGTGCATGGCCAAGCAAAGACGTGCGGGCAAGGTAGCAATGCGGTACGGCGCCTTTGCACTATGTTGGGCAGGATTAACTCTAAGCTATGCGGGTTGCCGATGCGGCTTGTTGGGCGCGCGAGTATTGGCGCGACGCTCAAACTGTTGGCGGTAACGGTTAAGGTTTCAAATGCATTTGGGTTGCACGTGGACGCTGTTATTTGGTTCCACGTGGCCTAGGCGGGGAATCTTCAAGTGTGCATGGCAGAATGAATCAGATGGGCGACGCGTGTACAAGAC